CAGGGGCAATCGGTGGGGGACACGCGGGCCGCGCACACGCAGGCGCTCTTATCACCGGCCAGCTGCGGGCAGGGCCCCTATCAGCGACGTGGCACCCGCTTTGGGGCCACAGCACAGCCAGCCCCGAGCCCCCTATGCTGGGGCAGTCACGGCTCTGCTCTGACCCTGGCACAGCGATGGCGGAGGGGCTGGGACGAGCACCTCTGCGCCTCTCCGTGCTGCCTGCAGGGCAGGGTGGCGCGGGCGGGATGCGGCCCCAGGCGCTGCCAGCTTTCCCGACGGGCTTGCCTGTGGTTTCCTCTTGGGGAGCCGGTGCGATGCTGGTGGGGCGGCCGAGCGGGGCCGGCACCCTGGGAATGGCCTTCCTGTCCCTTTCACAAGCCAAGCGGCCTCCCGGGTTTATTTGTTTCTTTTGAGTCGCATCCACCCTCCCACTTCCAGCAGCTCTGTGGGGCGCTGCCGGGAGCTCCGAGGGTCAGAGCGGGACATGTCCCCTCCTCTGTCCCCGCTGCCTGCGGGACCTGTTCCTGCTGCCTCCGCTGCCATCCTGGCTGCCCAGGCCACATGGCATTGCCTGGCCGGGGCTTGTGCTTTCCTGCAGCAGCAGGGAGCCAAGGACCTTCCCAGAACCGGTGATCAGGGCCGGAGCATGTGGAGGGGCCCCTCTCGCCATCAGTCCTGTGACCAGCACATGGGGCATATCAGGAACCCAGTGCGTTGGCAGTTCCCCTCCGTCCTTAGGCTGCCCCTTGCGAAAAAGGGAAGTGAGACAGGTTTGATGTGATCCTGGTTCCTTTTTGGAGCATGGTGTTTGGGAGTACATCCAGGGCATCCCAGCTCACTTGGTAGCCAAACACAGGATGCAATCAGCCCTTAGGAGCATGAGTTTGTCCTAAATAAAGCTCCAACGCCCTGGACGTGAGTGTCCCAGGCAGCTTGGTTGGCACTGGCTGGGGTCCTGCTGTGCCCACCTGGGTCAGCCTCTCCAGCTGTAATCACAGGGAATTAGAGGTGGGTGGAGAACAGTCTAAAAAAAATGACACAAAACAAAACACCACAAGTATTTGCATTTCCAGCACTTATTCTGAGCATTCTGAGCTTCCGCGTGGGTGTCACGCAGAAGCCGCCAGGAGTCTGACTGGTGTTTTGGGCAGGGTTGCACAGGTCGAGGAGTTTTGCTGGACAAAACCAACACTAACCAAACAGCAGGGTTTGCCAGCGCCGCCTCCCAGCGCCCTCCGCCCTGGCTGCCGGGCTGAGCGAGCTCCGAACAGGGCTCCTGCCTCCCTTTGTGCTGAGAGGGGGCCAGGGCCGCACGGGGATGCTGGCACCCAGGGCTGTCCCGGGGAGCTGGTTGCATCCGGGGCCTGTCCAACCCGGGACGCTGCTGCTCCGGGAACCCCAGGGACCCCACAAGCCCAGCCTGGTCTCAGAGGTGCCCGTGGTGGTGGCCTCGGCTCTGGGGATCCTGCAGCGGGAGGCAGACACCAGCGCTCCCGCGGGGAGAGGCAGGTCCTGCTCCATGTGGTGCAGCCGCAGTGCGGTGCCCGGGGATGCGTGCGCAGGGCACCCCGGGTGCCTGCGGGGATGCCCGCGGCTGCAGAACAGTGCTGCTCTGGCAGGGAGCTCGGAGAGGGGCAGTGCACGAGCAGGGACGGAACCCCCGTGCACTGCGTGCGGCCCCACGGAGGGCCTTGACTCGCGGCGAGCACGAGGTGCTGGGGCCTCTGGCCGTGGGGCGCCGGACACGTCCAGGGCGCTCCCTGCCCTGCCCCTCGCTGCGGTGCCCCCTGGCCCAGCGCGCTCTGCTGTGGTGACGGGGTGGCCCAGGGCACCAGTAGGTGCAGGTAGAGGTGCCCAGAGCAGAAGGGAGGGAAGGAAGAGTGAGGTGTAGGGTGCAGAGCAGTGTGTAGGGATGGGGACGTGGGGTGCAACGCCATTCCCATGGCTGGGTGCTGGAGACCCCCTTGGGGCAGGGGTGGCCTCAGCAGGACCCTGGGGGCAGAGGGATGTGGGCTCAAAGGAAATCAAAGCTCCTTTCTTAGGGTGCCGGGAAGTCTCCAGGAGACTCGGGCACCTGTGAGGACGGGGCGGGTGGCCAAGGTCGCTCTTATCTCGCATCTCTTACCCTTCCCTGTGTGACCCCTCCCCAGCACAGCCAGTGCCTGCAGGTCGGGAAGCCCAGCGGGCCTGAGCCCATGACGCTGCCGCGCGGCCGGCCCTGCCCTCTAGCGTTGCCGGAGCTGCTCTCCGCAAGGCCTGGCCCTGGCTCCTGGGCTGAGCACGTACCTACTCATCACACACGGTGCAGGGCCACTGTGAGCAGGGTGCCTGGCTGCTTTCCCCACAGGAAGGACGCACGGGACCTCGCCAGCCCCAGTGCAGTCATTACTTCCCACAGGCACCGAGTCCTGCACGTTGTGCCAGGGCCTGCAGCTGGGGGACGAATGGAGAGGAGGACGCGGTGGCCCTGGACCAGCGCCAGCAGCATCAGGCTCCTCCTCGCACCCCCGTCGGGGCTTCCCAAAGGAGTGGGCAGGCAGCAGGTCCTTGTCACATGCCAAGCCTTGGTGAAGCATGGGAGCACTGGCACGTGGGACAACCCGCTCCCACCCCGGCTCCAGGGTCGATAACCGGGCGGCCGGGCCCGGCAGCGCTGCAGGGTGTGCAGGGGCCTCCAATGAGGCCGCGCCGAGGGAGGGAGCGCCGGCACGAGGGCGGCGCGTCGGCCCCAGGACTCTGACCCCTTGGGCGGCGCCAGCGGGAGAGCGCGGAGCTGCACGGCACCATGGAGCCCCCCGCGGAGCTGGCGCCAGACCCCAGGTGGGTGACGGGGCCTTGCTGGTGCTGGGTCGCCCTGCAGCCCTGGCAGCTTCTGGGGTGACGTGCTGGGGTGTCCCCAGCCCGGCTCAGCGCTGACTCTCTGCAGGTTCCCCCCGCCGCTCGTGGAGATGCTGATACGGAATTTCAGCGTGCCAGCTGCCTGCTTCTCCCTGCCGCCCACCTCCGAGCAGCTCCTGCAACGTAGGTGGTGGAATGGGTGGGACGGAGGGAACTGGGACCCCCCTTCCTCTTCAGTGTGGACATGAGCAGAGGGGGATTGCAGGGGGGAAGGCAGTCAGGTGCCAGACTAGGGGCTCAGCCCCATGGCACGGCCTGGCCCACATCCAAGGGGCCACAGGACCATGGGCAGGTGACATGGCAGGAGCAGGGACAGACATGAAGATGTGGCTAGTCCTCAGGCACACATGGACGTGGCTAGTGTCTCCCCAGCATCAGTCGCAAAGGGGCCCTGAGATGGGTGCGGAGCAGTGGTTGCCCTAGGAGCTCCTCACCACAGTGTCCCTTGGGGATGGTTCTGGTTTCTCACCCCTTCCTGGCAGAGCTGGACGTCTTTGAACTCAGCATCCTGGGGCTTGCCACCTTCCTGACACTGCTGTCGGTTGCCATCTTCGTGGAGGAGGCCTTCTACCTCACGCGCAAGATCCGCTGCCCCATCAAGAGGAAGACCCTCCTCTGGAGCAGCTCGGCCCCCACAGTGAGTCCCTGCTGGGGCAGCAGTGAGAATCAGCTCATGGCAGGGGGGCACCACAAAGCTGAGGCTGCCCACGGGGTCTGAGATAGCGGAGTGAGGAGCATCATTGTACAGAGCCCGTGTCTCGTGCAGGTCGTGTCTGTGGTCAGCTGCTTCGGGCTCTGGATCCCGCGCGGCATGATGGTCGTGGAGATGGCAACCACGACGTGGGTATCGCCTGCCTTGGGGGCACGGGCGAGCAGGGCCCTGCTGAGGCCTGACCCTGCTCGCGGCCCTTCTCCCCAGGTACTTTGCTGTCTGCTTCTACCTGCTGATGCTGATCATGGTGGAGGGCTTTGGGGGCAAGGAAGCGCTGCTGAGCACCCTCAAGGACGTGCCCATGGTGATCAGCACCGGGCCCTGCTGCTGCTGCTGCCCCTGCCTGCCCCGCATCACCATGAGCAGGTGAGCGAGGGCCCCAGCTCGGCCAAGGGAGGCCGGGGTAAAACCCTGCCCCAGGGAAAGCAGCGTGGGACAGGGGCTTGGGGACCTTCGGGTGTCACAGGCCTCTCTTGCTGTGCCAGGAGGAAGTTCAAACTGATGGTGCTGGCGACTTTCCAGTACCCGCTCTTGAGGGGGATCGCTGTCTTCGTTGGGCTGGTCCTGGCTGCGGATGGGAAGTACAACCCTGCTGACGTGAGTGACAGGCTACAGGGACAGGCAGGGCCACCTCTGGGAGGGAGAGAGGGCAACCCCCTTAGCCAGGGTCACTGCTGTGCCCTGCCTCCCAGCCACAGCCAGCACCACTGCGGCTTCATCAGACCCACGTGGGCTTTCTGCCTCCCCCAGATCTCAGAGAAGAGCGCGGCTCTCTGGATCAACACGTCCCTGGGGGTCTCCACCATCTTCGGCCTGTGGGCCCTGGGCATCCTCTTCCGACAGGCCAGGTTGCATTTGAAAGAGCAGAACATCGTGGCCAAGTTTGTTTGCTTCCAGGTTAGAAAACAGATCAGGAGATGGGTGGGGAGAGCGGGAGGAGGGACAGGAGTTCCCTGCTGGCGAGATCCATGCTCTGCTGCAGGAGAGCAGAGGCTGGCTGCAGGAAAGGCAAAACAGCAGCAATTCATCCGCGCTGCCCCGGTCACCTCGGGGCTTCGTGCCTGCAGGTTCTCCTCATCCTGACGGCGCTGCAGCCCTCCATCTTCAGCATCCTGGCCAACAACGGCAGCATCGCCTGCTGGCCACCCCTCTCCTCCAAGGCCAGGTCACAGCGTGAGTAGTGACAAAGGGAGTGGAGCCACTTATCCCCCTCCGCCTCAAGGCAGGGAGGGAGGAGAGCTTCAAATAATCCTTCTTTTCTCACTTTAAGAGATGAATATGCAGCTGATAATCCTGCAAGTGTTCATCGTGGCTGTGGTGACCCGAATATACTACCGCAAGCAGGATGACAAACCTGGCTACCAGCCCATCACCATCACACCTGAGGACACCAACACCAAGGCCTGAGCAAGAGGATGGTGCCGAGGGGCACAGCAAGGCTGGGGCCCTCCACTTGCACCTCCTCCTTGTACAGCCCTAGGAAGCTTCTGGGAGCAAGTAACATAGAGAGTAAAAGGGCACAGGCTAAAGGGATCTGAAATGTGAAGGACACAAAGCAAAGACCATCATGAAGCAGCCTTCAAACCCAGGGGATTCTGGCACTGAATAAAGATACATTTGTACCTGAACCTTTCATTGGTAACTATGGACTCAGGCTTTCGCCTGCCAGGCTGGGGTGGGTGATGCCTCTCAGGGAGGGCACAGAGGAGAGGAAGAAGGAGATCAGAGCGATATATCCGTGACACGGGCCTGGCTCAGAGGAGAGCTCAATGCCAGGCACGACACCGAGGCGGCAGGCTGGGCATAGCAGTGTTGCAGGCAGGATCCTGCCCGTCATCCAGCCCGGTTTAGATGGCCAGGGCAATCCCAGGGCAGCCACAGGGAAACACATGAATACCCGGCTTCTTTCCTAGGGAAAAGCGTCCATGGCAAGGACTGCTCCTGACAGCACAGGGAGGTGCATCCACATCTGTCAGGCTGGAAAGGGGGAGAGGAGGTACCTATCCCTACAAAACAGGGGAATAGTTAATGCTGCTTTAACTGGCCTGGAGCAGGATCCGTTCCTGCAACAGCACCTGCTCTACACCTAGGATAAACGTGGGGACAGACGTTGATGACTTGTAGGAACCTCACAGTATGCGCTTTTTCCTTTTTGCCCCCCATGGAGCATCTTCTTACTCAAATCATTGCTGACAAGGACTAGATCTTGTACTGGCAGACCAGAAGACATCTGGAACACACAGGGTAAAATTACTTTTGTGTTTATTTGCCTAAACATAAAGTCAAAACAACAACTCGAGAACAAGCCAGTAAGACACACGCGTGTGCACCAGGTCCAACAGAGGATCCGTCACAGTGACACTGAGGGGAGACACCCCGAGTCAGCTGCAGCTCTGGGGCCAGAGGGGTGACAGAAGGGACAGAGGGAGACAGCCCGGAAGGAGATGGCCTGGACCCCTATCAGTCCCCCCCTGCCATGTTACCTTTGGCCAGGATCGCATTTTAGAGGAGGGAGGAGTCAGAAATCCAAAGCTCCCCAGTATTATCTATTTCATTCAGTCATTCGGGGGGGGTGGTGGGGGGGGCGGGAACAAAAACACATTACCAAAAAGCAAGTTCTCTGTCCCTGGAAGGGGAAAGCCACACTGAGCTTTCTGCAATTGTCAAATTTGAGATGGTTTGACAGATTCATGGTAACAGAATGACCCTTAACAACAGTGTTATAGGCACCATCCAGAGTGCTGGGGGCCAGAAATCTCATGGCTTTGACAAGATGCAACACACAGACAAGCAGCAAAATAAGAGACTCGGCCTCCTTGCCACACTGCCAGACCCAGCCTCATACCTACAGCAGGCAGAAAACCAGAAGGCTTTACAAAAGGGGGCCTTCGACAGCCAAATAACTTCCGAAGGGCAGGGCACAAACTGCAGAGATCCCCCTCTGTCCCACCAATGTCACTGCTACAGCCAGGCGCATTCCCAAGATGTCCCTGGAGAACCCAGCTTACACATCTTGCCGAGGTCAAGCTCTGCCCTGTTCCTGATAGGATAAGGCAGCACCGGGGATGCGACTGGCCCAGCAACGCAACAGGAAATAACAATCATGCCTCTGTCCCCCAAAAAACACCCCCAAAAACAAACCAAATGGGGAAAAAAAAGCAAAACAGACTAGTCTGGGGTTGGAGCGTCCATTTTAATTTAAGTGCGAGGAGGAAGCAGGGATTGTTGGTTACAAAGAACAGCTCTGTTACGCCAAGCTGCAGAGAAAACCACGTGCGGCTTCTTGCCAAGCACCCCAGGTTTTGTCAAGAGATCAGGCAATTGGTAAGGTCTCCATGGAACAACCCACCATTCTGGCCAGCAGCCTTGCAGAACGCTCCACGTATCCTGTGATTCAAAGAGCAGGGAGGCTCTAAAGCAGCCCGGCCTTCGTGACCCGGCTGCTGAAAGTAACTGAACACTATTTGGAGGGAAGGGTGCAGGAAGGTGGGGAAGACAGAACGTGGTAATATAAAATAAGTGCTCTACCACTCATAAACCAGGGGATTAAAAACTGGTTTGTATCAAGTGATCATGTTTGCTTGTTACAGCTTAAAAATCAAGAGCAGCCAGCCACGCTCGCAGAGTCATGCACACTTTGGCTGGCAGAACAGAAACCCCCCAGTGCCGTTTCCTGTGCAATTTTATGCTCAACAGCAGCAGGGTGCAAAGAGGCATCTCACACTGGTCTCTGCCAAGAGATTTGGGCAACGTGACACAGGAAGGGCAAGACACAAGCTGGGAAGAAGCGGGAGGAACACCTGGAAGCACCTCGGGGCGCAGAGCACGTGGCAGCATCGACGAGGCACCTCGTGGGGACGGCTGCTCCCCACGTCCCCGCTGCAGCCCCTCGCGGCATTGCTGGTCGGCCTGCGAGCCCGTCCTCGGCTGCTCCTGGTGGGAAGACGCCGGCAACTCGTGCCAGGAGCTCCAGCTGGAGCCAGCGGATGTCATAGGAAACCCTAGCAGAGAAGCGAGCGGGAGCTGCACGGCTACAACAGCGTGAGCTCGACACGGCAAAGCTCAACACTTACTACACACAACAGCAGGCAGGACTTCAACCATGGTTTCAAGACAAGTTATAATGTTTAAAATCTTAAAAAGCTGCAGCTCTCTGATGCTCTCTCAGCCTCCTCCCTTAAGGGTTGGTGCAGGTGAGCACAGATTTTTGCATATAATGTGCAACCCAGGTAACTGTCATGTGGGACAATCACCCTTAACTGTGGTAAAACACGTCCTTCATCTGCCCAATCACACACATCAACACAGACAGCAAATTGGCCACATGAATTCACGGTTTGTCCTCACAGCAGCGACTTCACGGCACCAGTACACGACTGCCCCAGCCCTGAGAGCACAGCGACTGAAATGCAGACAAACACGCACCGAGCACGGCGTGGAGGAGCCTTCTGGGCAGACATCACAAGTATTACACACTGCAGACTAGGACAAGAAACTTTTCCAAGCAGCACACACATACATTTCCTACACGGACTTCCACACGCTCAAGGAAACACGCAGACAGCAAGTGCTCTGAAAGAAAGACTCCGTCTCCTCTCTCCAACAGCAACTGAGGGCTGAATTTGAGCTCTAGATTCTAGTCTTGTCAAGACAGGTTGGAAAGGCCCCTCCCCTGCAGCCCTCACACAGATTTGGGGTTGCAAATGCTGCACACTTACGGGGTGAAGGATTCTGTGGTGCTGCAGCTGCTTGCAGGACCTAACTCCTTCATGCCTTGTTGGTAGCCCACTCCTCAGCCCATCTTCACTGCAACGTGCTGGTAAGCTCAGCTATAAGACACTACAGCACTACAGAGTTCAGCAGATAGATCCCTATCGGATCCAGCGCAGCAGAGATGTCTCTATTTCCTAACAGTCTTTCTAGCCAACTGCTTCCTGCATGCTTTCGAGGTCAGTTTTGAGGAACTGTGAGATCTTTCGTTTGGCAGCAGCACAGACACTGCCTGGGCATATGAGGCAATAGGACAAAGGAGCTGAAGGAAAGGAGGGACAGAGGGGTCTGGGCATAGCATCCCGCTCTCCCTCTCACCTGAAGGTTTAACAGGGGAAAAGAAAACAAAATAAGAGCCACACTTGAGTGCTATTCTTTGTGTTTAAAAAGAGTATTTTCTTAAAATATAAAAACCGTCTTTCCCCTGGAAACCATTAGAACGTAAACAATAAAAAGGGAATGAGGGAGAAGGGAAGAGGAGAAGATATTTGAATGTGCTTCCAGGCAGCAGCCCTTGCTAATTGCGCCGGGTGCCTTCAGGACCCCGTGCCCAACGTCAGCCCTGTTCCTATGGCTCTCTTGCTCATTCAGAGTTCCCCGGGGGGTCTGGACTTGCGACTTGGCCGGTCAGCGACTCGCAGCAAACCCCGGCTGGCAGCTTAATCCTCTTCATCCTCACTGATGTCGTAGGTGACCGCGGACTCGTTCCTGGCACGGTTGGCCGGTGAGGAAGGAGGAGTCTTGGTTGAGAAAGGCCAGCGGAACGAGGGAGATGGGGAACGGTCGTGCGTGGGGCTGCTGCTGGGACTCTGCTTTGGGCTGATGGCCTGCAGCATCCGGCCCTTGCCCTCTTTCAGCATGTGTTTCTAGTTATGGAAGCAGGAAGGCAGTTAACATGACTCCAGAGTAATGCAAAACAACACTATCTACAGCTCTTGCACATTTTGAGGTGTTTCCCCCCTTCAATATCTTGGGCAATACGAAAGCACAGAAAAGCCCAAGCACAGCTCGAGCCTTTGGAAACCATCCCATTGAATCAACGCCCACTTTCCAGCACCTCTAGCATGAACTGCTTGTGACGTTTTGCCAGCATTGCAGGACAGCATGGCAAAGCAATGTTTCACAGGCAGCTTCAGACCTATCCCAGGCAACTGACAGAGTGACTGCCAAAGCCTTGGCTGCTCAGCAGCCCATGGGACACACGTTGGAGCTTACAGGGCAGCTCCTGTCTTGCTAATGGGCACAGCTGGCTTTGGGCAGCCGGCGAGGTCGCTGCAGCTGTGCTGCCCCGGCCTGCGGCAGGACGCACCCAGCGCTGTGACAAGCTGGAGGCCTCTGCTCTGCAGAGCCTGCGCTCGAGAGCGTCTGACCGCTAAGTTCTGCGAGATCCTCTTCCCCCTTCTCCCAGACAGGCTCCTTACCAACGCGCCTTCTGGGCCAAACATCTCCAGGAAATTGCCGATGAACTCCCGGGACTTCTCTTCCCACTTCTGAATGAGATCGATACTCTTTTCTTCTACTTTCTGGACAAACTCCTTTGACTTCTCCTCTACATCCTTCACCCTCTTTTTCACCTTATCCACACGTTCCTGGAGGTGATATTTCTTCTCCTGCAAAGAAATGGTGGATCAAAATATGACTTACCAGGCTTGAGTACTGACCATCTCTGCTGTATGTTATTACCCTGAACAGTTGCTTAAGACTCAGCATCGCCCCCAGTTTCATGACATTTTTCTTTCACTTCAGAGACATTTCCTCCCTAGACTAAATCACAGACGCTCAGGGGCTGCGAGATGCTTTCTGGCAGATACTGACACATCTTTTTTTTTCCGTATTTTGTTGTATTTATAAAACAGACAAGGTATGTGTCTTAGTAGTAAGAGAAATGTTTACTATCTTAGTGCCAACATTAGGAACAATGTGGCATTACTTCTGTCACATAATCCTGCTTGTGCACTAACAGCTGCACAGTACACAACTCCACACACTACTGCTCCTGTATCTACAAGGAGACTAATGCAGCGAGAACAAGGTCAGATTTAGTCCTAAAAAGAATTACACTTCCTTATAATTTCTCTTCCTTTAACTGTCTTTATATGACACCACAGGTGCTGCCCTGAACAACCAACACTTCACACGATTAAAGAAACTGCTAATCTCACCCCATCTTCCATTCCCTCAATAAGCAAAACACTACCAACTTGTCATTTCTAACAATGGGCAGCATTAAGAAAATGACAGTTCCTCCATGTTGGGCTGCTCTTCACAGCAAAAGTTCGAGGACGAAACCTGACTTCTGCTACAACGTCACCAATTTGGTACAATTGCTTAGTTCTGCAGATCTTGACATTTACAAGCAGGACTGTGCTCCCACTAGGCAAAGATCCGTATCCACACACTCTTAAGACTCTGCTTCCTGCAGCTTGTTGTAAGACACACTTCAACTCACATTTATGAAGCTGACATTGAGCTCTTTAGCTGTGTAGCCCCTTTGCAGGTTTCTTCTGGCATAAACATCATAGTCCCGCACAATCCGGGTGATGATATCTGATGTCGAGATCCCCTCCGTCCTCTGAGTTGGTGCAAACATGCCTGTAGTTGGGGAACAGGACTCAGGACAGCTGTAGCAAGATAGATGGCAAAAAGCTACTGCCACCTCCATTAGGAAGAACCTCTCCTATCCAGATTCCCAACTGTCTTCACTCCACCATGTCTCTCTTTGAATATGCAATAATGGCAGTCCTCCTTTCTGGAAGGATGAGGAGAAACTATGCAAGACCTAAGCAAGTGTCAAAACATATCTTTAATTAAAAGCTCCAGTTCTTTACTTCAGCTGGTTTAAAGACTGTTATCTATAGCTAACTGCATTTGGAACAGTGTGGAGACAAGGACAGGAGAGAAAAGGGCTCTCACAGTTTAGCAGGTGAGAATGTAGTGAGCTCTGGTGGCTGGGTTTGAAGCTAGATTTAAGCAAACTGCATCTCCATTGAGTTTTACAGCAATCAACTAGAAGGACCACTTTGCAAGTTCATGCCAGTTCTTCCATTTGTGAGAATCTGTAAGCCAAGCCAAAAAGGTGGTTGTTGCTTCAATCACAGTAACTAGACTAGAAGCAGAAATTAATACAGGGCAATCACATGGCCTGGAACGTGGAACAGTCCTGGCCTTACAAACTGGGCTCCCTCTTGCTCTGAGGGCTTCCTGAGGGAACCTTGTTCGCACAGTGACAGTCACTTCACGTAATTCTGCCCTACAGCAGCAAAGGATAAACTACAGATCTTTGACAAGAATCCCTAGAGAATCTGACTCAGACCCACCTGCTTCTTTTATATGCTTATAAACGTCATCGCTGCCAGCAGAAGAATAGGGGATGTCATCATGTGCAACAAAATCGATCTGTAAGTTTAAGAGAGCAAAGTGAATCAAAATTTTACACTGAATATGTGCGTTTCCTGATTTCTGTCAAAGGATGGTTACTTCTGCTCAACACCTCCACACGGGGGCATGGTGAGGAACTGCAAGATGCTTTTGAGTGACGGAAAAGCAATGCAGAGCAGTCCTAAGTTCTTACTGGCAACTGTACATCAATCAAGCCTGCAAGTACACACCAAAGAAGAGGAGCTGAGCCTAAGGATAGAGTTATTTTAAACTCCACAAATAAATGACTTCTCAGTGGCACTTGGGGGAAACTAGGCATATTTCTCTGAACACTCCAGACTCCTGCACCTCCCAGAGCACACCAACAGATGGTAGATGTTCCTTTCTATTCTGTCTTATCTATTGCTCATTTCACACCAAACTGTCACTAGCATCAACTTCTGAAACAGTGAGGCCCCCACTAGGTTCTTTACTTTCTCACTATCTCCATTTTATTTCAGCATTACCTTCCATATCACTGAATACTTTTAATCTCCTAAGAAATTTACCTAGTTCCCATAACCTAGCACATTCTGCACTGAAGCATTTTAAGGAGAGTTGCTCAGACAGAGATTTAGCCCATGGATAAACTCTTGCTGCAAAGAGCAGGATAATCAAAACCCCAAAGAGGTGAGACAGCACGCATTACCCTGTGCTCTGCCAGGAACTCTGGTGTGAGTGTCCACGGTGCGTTTCTCACCACTTCGTCCACGTAGCGGCAATGCTGCACAGCGTCGTACCGCTCGTTTTCATTCATTACCGTGAAGCCCTTGAAGTTATGGGTCAGCTCATCACTGCAGACTGGAGAGAGAAGAACAGAGTGAGTTCAAGGTGCCTACCCCAGTGTTTTATAGCAAAAGGACTCTGCCCCCACCCCTGCTGCACAGGGCAAGCCTGGCAAACACAGCTTGTTGGCAGAAGTTGGCACAAGGCTCTTGCAGCCACCAAAAAACAAACAAACGAACAAACAAAACCCAACCAACCAAACAAACAAAAAAACAGGAACAGGGGGTGGTGACAAGGAACCAACCTCTTGGACTATTCTGCTCAGGCTTACCACAGGAAGGTGGACAAGTTTTGAGGGGATTTCTGTCCAAAACGGGGATCTACACCCCAAATGCTCCAGGACTCTAAAGTCTATGATGTTTACCAAGAAAAAATGCTCAATACAGAAGACAACTCTGTACGAAGTGGCACAGGGGGCTCTACTAGCATAAACCTGCTTATCTACCTATGGATGTCTATCCTGCAAAAGAGAGCCCTCCACTCCCAACATCCCTAGGTTTCAGTTTCTGATTTAACAAAATACCATAGTATAATCTAGCTCTTGAGGAAAAAAAAGGCAAAACTAAGAGCGAGTTCACAGCAAATCAAGCTAGTTTAATAATCAGGTTCTGTGAGAAAGTAAACACACAGCTCCTCATAATCTGCATGATGGTCATTAAGAAAGCAGTTTTATTTGGTTATTGGAATCAAAAGCAAACAAGGCATTACCAATTTCACTGAGATTGGATGTATTTGTGTTCCAGACAAATAAATGATAAAGAGAGGGTGAGACAGCTCCTGCCTGAAGCCCCCTGTTCCTGGTGCAAGGGAAGCAGCTCATTGCTCCCTGCCTCCTCACCAGGCTCCTGGAGGCAGAAGGGACACTCACCCAGCTTGCTACATTAACATGTCAACAATATTTTCACCTACAGTTATTTTTTTAACTGATGTGCAACATTTATATATATATTGACTTGTCATTTAGTCTTCAAGATTTGTAAATTTGGAGCATTCTATTAATTTGAGAGACGATTTCACCTCTCCTTTCTCCTATCTAGGTACTACTGTAACTCATACAAAAATCATACAGAAGCACCACAATAAATCACCTTCTGCAATGAATGAAACTGTGATAGGAAACAAGCTGCATGAAGAAATTATTAATGCTGTACTACAGATGAGAGTTTCATGTTTCTTCTGGTAGCTAGTGGTAGTTGAGAAAACTAGTTAGAAGTATTTCCAGTTCTGACACCTTACCATTATCACACGGGCTGACTAGAGCTCACTTTATGATAGTCAATACCCAGAGTTTGACATGTTTTTAGCACCCCATGTCAGAAAGGTGGATGAAAGGATGGATATAGAGACACAGTGCAGGCAGAAGTCAGCATAGGACAGAAAGCAGAAAAATAAAATTCCTTTCCTTTATAGTTTTGAAGGTGTCTAGCTGAAAAAAATGCTGTTAGATCCTTTCAGGGAGTCATAGGTTATTCCTGGTATCATCTAAAGAGTTTTGAGCCCAGTAAACAAAATGAAAAACTTGTTTGGGGGAAAAAAAAAAAGGGGCCCTCACAGGGCCGATCATGTGCACAAGGAACTACTATCATCTCTCCATACTCTTTTTGAGTTGGTCATAAGCAAAATCCAGCAGAGATCTGGAAAAGGAGGAGAATGTGCAAGATGATAAAGATTATGCCAGGTTCAAACAGCTATGGAGGGTCTGTTCATCATTCTCTTAACTGCCTCATTCAAGAGGCAGATGCTCAGCTGCCCCTAGTATTTTTTTTTAATACTCAGGATAAGCAACTGAACACAAACTGTCACAACTGTCCCAAAACAGAGGGGACCAAGTTAGAACATTTGTGTCAAATGTTTCCTTTTGAAATGTGTCTTTTCCTCCGGTGCTTTTTTGCTGCAGAATTTCCTTTTGCAGATCTATTGACTCAACATATTGCAGCAGGACTCCAACAACAGAGTGGAAGCTGTAAGTTCAGGCTGCAGTGACAGCTGCCAAGGCTATAAAGCAAAGACAAATAAGCTCTTGTGGTGCCTGTGTGCACACCGCTGGAGACACTCCTGGGACAGACAAAGTCAACAAGATCACTCCTTACCTCCCACAATGAGGTATGTGTTTGGGAAGAGGTTCTTCGCTTGCATCAAGGCCCGGGCATGTCCAGAGTGAAACAAGTCAAATATTCCATCAGCATAAACTCGGACAGGGCGATCCACTGTGCCAAGGAGACAGACAGACACATTTGTGAAGAGCCATTGCTGGAGAAGCAGCTATTGCTCATGCCATTTGGGGACCTTCTGAAACTAAGGGAGAGCTTCAGAAAATTGTCAGAATGCAGAGCCATGGCCAGGAAAGATTTAAGAAAAAAAATGGCTGTTTCTTTTCCTTCCCATAGGGAAACAAATGCATCTGAGCACAGAGCTGAAATACAACCACGTTCAAAGATAAATTCAAAACCTATCACACACCCACCAAAAAAGGTGAAAGGAGTTCAAGCAGAAAGCAAACCCCCATCATCTCCTCCCATGGAAATCCAAATGCAGCATTATTTTTTCCACACAGCAGTGAGCTACTGGAGGGGACCTGGCCAAAATGTTTCATAGGTACCTGATTCCTCCCGCTAGCCCAGCTGGCATCTCAAGAATCTTCTCAGCATCCTCCTCTCTGCAGCCCACTGCCACAGCTACCAGTCTGTCCAAGAGGCCAGGTTGTTTTGGCTCCTTACCAGCACCATGGGCTCCCTCCAGTCCCAGGAAGCTTGTGACTTCATGCTGGGCTTTCAGAAAGAAAGCCAGATCCCCTTCTGCTGATCTACTGTTGCTGCCAACCAAATCTATGCATAAATAAGGAAGAACAAAGCCTTCTTCTGGTCACCTTGGCCAAGACAGCTCTTCTATCTGAGGTTGGCACTGAGGTCAAGTGAAACAGTTTGGTACTGCCACGTAATACCAGGAGACTCCCAGACTGCTGGTCTCCCAGGACCACACAGGACTCCAGCTCCCTTGCTGCAAGCAACAGAAAGTTGCATATTCTTGGTATTCGATACCCCTGAGAACGGCCTGGATTATGGCCCAGTTCAGCCAGGCAGGCTTGGAGGAGCAGCGCAGAGGCAAACAGAGCTGCAGTGAGGAAGAGGAGCTGAACCCTCACGGGTCTAGGCAGGGCCCTGAAGGAGCCTAGGGATGGAGCACATGAGGCAGCAAGATGAAGCTTGATGCAAATGGAAGGATGTTAAGTTCAAGCTAAGCAGAGGAGTCAGTTTGAGGACAGCCTCTTGCAATTACTTGTCAACAAACACCACATTTTGACAGTGCCAGGATGTTCCAAAGAGCAAAAGACCTGGAGACTGTAAAAGCTTCCTGCATGCCAGAAGAGGGTTGGTCCTTGTATGCCTTTATTAAAGTGCAGGCATGTTCTGAAAAATGGCTTGAGACATTTCCCCCTCTCCTCCACACCTGCAATAATTACAGTTCCTGATCATGGGCAGAAAAAGCAGCAAGGAAGTCTCTGCAGGTAGCAGAAGCCATCAGTATTGAAATCAGAGACCTCTGTGCAGGCTCCAGAGACTTTCTGCTGGAAAACTAATGTGGACTATGGAAAGCACTGGATTTCCAGAGTTGCCTACAGGAAACCCTGCCTCTCAACACTGGCAACAGTCAGGTAGTTAGAAGTGCAGTATTTTTCATTATCACAGGGTCTGTAATAGAGAGGCCAAGAGGGACAGCACACCCTGCACACTGTGCTTGGCAAGAGGACAGCCTCCCTTCAGAAGGAGCCAGCCCTGCCCTCTGTCTCCCTCTTTGGTGCAAAGATAGTAGTGCTTTTCCCAGTCTCCTTCAGAGAATAAATGCTCTTCTGGCAAGGTCAGCCTGTTGTGTTCCATGACATTGACTTTAATTTAAATTTAAACTAGAAGAGAATAATCTGGGAAAAGTTGCACATTAGTTTTATTTGCCCATTTGAAAGAGACATTCTTTTAAATTGCTGTCTAACTTTAAGCTGCCTCAAAGTAGTACAGAAAAATGTTTGGCTCTGATGCTACTCTAGAGCTGTCAGTGGCACAGGAAGAGCTAGAACATGAATTTTTATTTGCATCAAATCATCTTACTGGTGTATGTGCTGCTCCTCACAAACCGAGGCTCTAATTTTAGTTGGGATTGGCAGGCTCAAATGGAGGTGGGAACAGTCATCTCTCAACAGAGTATTAACTAAATCATCAGGTGCAAACGTGGTCTGAAACACGAGGTTGTATCGGTCTCAGAGAAACCCAAGTCACACCCCTGCCAAAACTCAGTATTTAGACAATGCCATTGCAGGCTGGTTTTACTTACAAGGGGTCCCTCTCATCGCCTCTTCATATGTTACTCTGATGTATGGCTTGCTGTAATCGATTTCCACTTCATCTGAAAACGGAGCTGGTTCCCTCAGCCCCTAAACAGCCAGAGAAGGTTAGTCACGAGAAGGCAAAGGTGAGAGATGAGGATGTAACACACAGCGGCTGCAGTGCAACAGCAGGGCCGTTAAGTGACTCACTGTGTCTCTGCAAGATTCATACACATACACTGAAAGATTAATTAGTGTAAAACCTCAAAACAGTTCTGCATGGTGACGAGAGAGAGACAGGGAAGAGGAGATGGTAACTCACACTGGGATCCCTAAAAATGCATCAGGCTCAGCTAGTTCTGACGAAGAGCGGTAGGAGAGGGACAGGAGGAGATGGTAATTCATGCTGGGATCCCAAAAACACTCCAGGTTCAGGCAGCTCTGACAAACAGCCGTTTATAACGGCAGAAATGAAGCAAACCTCATGGTCACAGCCTCAGCTCTGCCCACCCAGGCAAGACAGCCACCTTACTTGAGTGCTTCTGCCGTGATGCACAGATTTTAACAGCTTCTCAGTTTCGGTTGTTTGAGCCTCCTGATATGAATATCAGAAGAGCAACATCGACAGCAGCACAAATCCCCAGGGAATATGTGTATCCCCACCCATTTCATAGCCCAACACACTGACAGACTCATCTTCATCTGCGGCACAACTCAAAGTGCTACATGAAATTTCCTCTAATCTACCAACTTGGCTACAGTGGTATGTTAAATTAGCAGCTGAAGTCCAGATATCATTTCCGAACATGTTCTCCTCCCAAAGGGAAGAAAATATCTGCATTTCCCATAATGGAACAAATAGCTCAATTTCCTTCTAGCGGGAAGGTGTGAGGCAGCAAAGGATTTCTCTTTCCTGAGCCAGAAGCTGAGGAAACAAGCTTGCAGATCACAACAACAGCATCTTTAAGCTGCAAAAGAGCTGCAAAAAGCTTATCAGCAGTTTCCTCCCACTTCCTGACCCACTGCAGCATCCTGCCATGGTGCACAGCAACACTGCACCCAGAAGTACCATTGCCATTATTGTCAATGCTATTTGTCATTAGAGATGTCCAAGGGGAGTGCACAGGAAAGCAACCACTGCCACAAGGGCATTTACTGAGGCTCTGATACCCACGTTTCCTATACCACTTTCTTTACCAAGATCACAGATTTTACTGCATGGGGTTCTTAAATGTCATTATACACCCGCTTGTACATCAGAGATTTTAAGCTCTTCTTTTAAAAAGAGCAAAGTTCATTTGCCCACCATACCTTACTGGCTTTTCAATGAACTGCCCAGCTCCCATACTTTTTTGCTTTTACTTTTGCAATTTTTTTTGTTAAGTAAGACCTGTGCTCCCTTCATTTATCACAGCCATTTCATCTAGGACTTGGTAGTAAAATCAGATTCTTTGCAGTTTGATTGTCACATACCTGATAGGAAGCTAGGATTAAAAGCACAAAAGCCTATCAAGGCTGTCAGACAAACTCAGAGAAATGTCCTCAAAGGCTCCTATCAATCTTGCCCTTCCTCTGCGCTACCTACGAGGGTCAGGACACAACCTGACACGCACAACACAACCGGCTCATGCGTCAGCAGGCTCCTTACCACCATCTGCTGCAGAGCCTGCTGCTCCAGGGGAACACTCTGCAGCCAGCTGTGCAGTCAGGAGCTGTAAGGGCCTCGAGGTAATGCTATAGTTAGGCAACTCTGCTATCCTTGCTACATTAAATACATGTTCCACAAAAAGAGGAAAAAAAAATCTCTCATCAGGAGATTCACATTAGCCCTGTGGCTAAAAAACAGTCAGGAGGTTTGGAGGGTGGCTAGATATAACTTGCTTTGTCCTATTCATAAATGGATGCTTCATTTCTAAGACAGGACAGACAGCAACCTCAAGAGCATCCCATGGAATAACTTATGCCTGTGCCTTGTCCCTCTCCCTCCTCTCTGAAAGATATGGGGTCTTCAGGAGGGACAGGGTGGGTTTTGACCAAAGCCAGGGATACTAAGGCTCAAATAACTTATGCCTGTGCCTTGTCCCTCAAAGCCAGGGATACTAAGGCTCGGTGGGATTCCATTCCCAGTGCTTGCCCCTCCCAATTCACACTGCAATTTGCAGGCTGTTACTTCTCTTATTTCACTAGCATTTGTCGAATACCTTGGGACAAGACTGTCGCACTCCTGAAGAGTAAAATCCTATTATCAGAGAGAGGAAACTTGAGCACATCACTGTATTATAGCAAGGACTATGACCCAGTGTGACGTGGAATGGGTAGCAACTGACTTCTGACAGAGATCAGGAGAGAGCAACGAGAGAACACGTGATACACCTGAGAGCGCCAGGAAGGGGGCAGGAGAGCTGTAAAAATCCCGTTATCACAATAATGCAGCAAGGACAAAATAAAGTCAACTCTTTATGCTGGAATTCATTGACACAGTCTTTAGAAGAGACACCAAGCTATGCCAAGCTTGATCTAGAGGATTTTTGTTTTGAACACTCTTGAAGTACTCACAACACAAATACAGACTCCTATCAGACCAGGCGAATCAAAAGCAAAGTCATCCTGCTGGGGTTTAAAACAGCAGTCTCAGTAGATTCCTTCTGCAGGTGCTCACAAGCCATCCACAGAACCTCTGACTTGAACAGGACTGAACCTTTCTATGAGGTGCATGACTGACAACGTGCTTGCTTGGAGGATTCCTCCCTCCCCTGGGTCACTAAGAAAACTCACCTATGAAAAAATAGTGATTGTTCCCTCTTTGTAGTACGTGCATATCTGTGCACCTGCCTCCTTGGGCACAGATTAAATGACTACAAACTACCCGGGCACACCACAAAAGCAGCTTAGCAACGCTTGCCTCAGACCTAACCTAAGCCCACGTTGTAAGTATGTCATTAGCATGAGCAAAGGAAGATTTCAAACTGGCTCTGCAGGAAGGATAGCTACTACCATTTGCTTCTTTCCTCCCCCTTGTTTTCTGTGTCCTCACAAAATAAAGAAAAAAAAAAAGACAAAAAATCACTATTCTCTTTTTGTTGTTATGACTTCAATGTACTAATTCCCCCAGGCACCTAAAGCTGAGCCATCTTTGCCTACTTACAAATGATCGTCGGGACATTTTTGGAGGGATTCCATCAGGCTCTGTCGCCCCATTGGGGCCAGATCCATCTTTCCTTCTCTTTCGGGAATTCAGCCTGGAGGAGGTCGGCGGCTCCATCTTGTCAGGCGCGTCCAGTAAGAACTAGAATAAAATGAAGGAGGAAAGAGGGAAAAAAATAAGTATTTCTCAGCTTTTCCAAAGCAAAAATTATTCAACAACAGGCTCAGTGTGTACAAGGTCAGCCCAAAGACACATCCACCTAACAAGGGGCTTAGCCAGTTGTACTTGGTATAGGCTGCCAAGGCTTGACAAACAGTGCCTGGTGGGAATACTGAACCATTTAGTGCAACTCCGAGCTGCTCCCCATTGCGTGTGGCAGTCAGCTGGTCGGAGACAAACTCACCCAAGAGTTGCAATGCAAGTTATAAATCATTAGTGCAAGACTAGTTACGCTATATTAGCCTCCGAAAGGCTGCGGTATGTCCAGTCCACAACCCTGTTCTGATGAGACTGAATGCAAACGCTCTTGCACCCTTCTGTCCTTTCCCCTGCCTCAGACCAGGAGGTCTGACTGCCGTGCTGGCTCCCTGTGCAATCCTGGGGAGAGAGGGCAGTGAATTTAAGCAGAATGATAAGGGTGGGGGAAAAAGGAGAGAAAACAATCCATGGTGACAGTTTAAACAACTAAACTGCTTGCAGTTTGCCTTGCTGTTTGCATGAGTTTTGTTTGGGGACAGCAGAACTCAGGGTGGCTGCCACCGTGTTCCCCCCTTGTCCCATGTCCCCACTGCAGTGGGGACTCAGCTGGCTGTGAAGCAGCTGTGGATGACACATTAGGGCACACTTAATTCTGGCTCTCCTTTATGCACCAGGTTGTAATTAGTGGTGGTTCAACTAAACAGCTTCTCTGATGAAGGGACAGACAGGCTGCCAGTTTGGTCAGAAAAAGTGACAGCTACGTGGAATTGAGCTATCCCTGCTTTTGAACCGAGCCCTCACACCTTTGTAAGGCTACCTTTGTAAGAGGCCCAGGGCCATTAGGAAGCCTAAAACATGTCGTGGTGTTTAAGGAAAGCCTGGGAATTATCCTAAGGCACGCAGCAAACATTCCCTTTTTCAGCTGCAGCAAGAGTTAGAAACAGGTGCTGTATTTGCAACGTTTAAGACAAGAAGGCAGTGAGCAGGTGCTTCTCACTGTGCTCACTCGGGGCGTGCAGACCCCAGGGCTGCCTCTCCCACCTCCCCGGCCAGGACCGTGTCCCTGCACCCTAACAAGGAGGGCCGGGCGGCATCCAGAGCTGCTCCTGGGACACAAAATGTGGCACGAGAGGGCAGGGCCCCTGCGTGCCCCATCCCTGCCCCTCGGGGCAATTCCAGCCCCGATTCCCGCCCGCTCCCTGGCCAGCATCCCTGCTCGGGACCAGGGGGCTGTCCTCAGCATGGGCCACGAGGCGAAGCTCTTGAGTTCCACAGTAGGGACACGAGCGCCGCGAAGACGCAGGTTCAACGAGCAGACTCGCTCAAGCACAAGTGACTCCAAACTCAGAAATGTTCCAAAGTGAGAAACCAAGCACAGCTGAGTAACACGTGAACTGAAAGGGGAGAGATTCCCCTTCCAGCTCCCCACCTAGAACCCACAAGATGCTTCATGAACCATTCAGGGCCAAATGCAGCTGAACTGGCTTTAGCTGAGCTGTACACGCACACAGGTACCCCGAGCTCTCAGTCAGACCTAATGTGATCCACCAGGAAAGGCAAAAAGGAATCCCAGATGACTGGGAAGCCAAAAAAACAAAAACCAAAACAACAACAACAAACCCACATTCAGAAAGCAAAAGTGACAGTGAGGAACAGCTAGGAAAGCCAAATCCTCTTGCAGAGGGCAGAGCAGAAAGGCTGCCACACAGATGTCAGATCTGTATGATCCAGCCAGCTCTCATGCCACAAAGCCCAGGAGTGAAGGTTGCCGAGTTTTCCCTACTCCAGTAATTTATTTAATGTTTCCTAACAACTAACACACTGGTGTGTGCAAAGCAATCTCTGGCAGTTTGCAGCTGTAAGCTCCATGTCTTCAAACTCCTAAGGAAACATTTAGCTTCCACAGAAATAATCCTGGATCTTCGACGTAACAACGATAAACAGCGATGCTACAAACACAGCAGCTTCCACAGTGCCTTAGGTTTTGCACAGTGCCATCTCACAAACATATTCTACATCAGTGATTTATTTCACCACCATGGTCTTACCAGAAACCACCCAGTTTGAGTCAAACCAACAGATCTCCACCTATGGCTTGAGCACCCTGAACATTCACGCGCAATATGAGGGGAAACAGCTATAGATTTTCTTGCTTCTTGTTCAAAATAATTTCGCTCCACCTCATTCTGTGACCACTCACTTTTCTCCTCCCGGAGGCAACTGGAAGGCCTCTTAACTTGCTGACAGCGCTTGCTCCGACACTGCAGTGCAAGCCCTCAGCAAGGCACCAAAAGCGCTGCCGAAGGCTTTGGAGCTGAAGCCCAGGGACTTCGGCCTCCACGCGCCAGCCCGAGGGTGTTCCCGTGCCAGCCTGGCATGGCAACACCCCACAGAGGCATCTCTGCTTCGAGGCTGCTGTGAATGTGCACTCTCTGCCCTGATATTGCAGGTTAGATCTTGCTGAGGGAGCCTCTGCAGTGTCCAGAGAGCTGGGCTGGGTGCTTTACAAATGACAAAGCTCTGGTAATTACTCAAATTAATGCAGAAATTAAACAATATTTTTACTGCTCTTCAGAGCTTTAACACCTCTACCCTGTGGCTAATGTGTTTCTCAGAAGTCTTCTTGGCACAAAACCAGCCTTCATTAAAAACGGGGAACAATTTATTCCTAAAAAACAAACTACACCTCACTGCGATAAAGCTGCTAACCTTACAATATTTTATTTTGATCCAAAGAACTAAAATAGTGCCCCAAACAATTACTAAGTAACAATGGGAGCAGCATCTGCAACTGAGCTTAACACACGAGCAAACACTCTTTGCTTCCCCAAATGAGCAAAACACTTGTCTGCTACAAAATTAATTACACTTGCAGCAGATGGGCAAGGGGAGAAGGCTCTTTTGAGAGCTCATTCTGAAAAACTCAAAGGTGAAAATTTGGCATAGTCAGTAGCAGGAGCTCTGCTGCAAAATATTGGCATTGTTCTTTTTGGTCTGACGGCTCTGTCTTGCACGCTGAGTCCCTGCTGAATACGAGCACCAGGAGCAAAGTTAAAAGAGCCCCATTAGGGGAGGGCCCGTGGGGCAACCCGCAGTATCTGCGCCACTTTGTGAGGCGCTTGGGGCTTTGCTTCTGAAAGCCATTTCTTTGGTTCACATCCTATACTAAAGGAGCATCTCTGGACATAGAGCTGGATGGGCTCTGCTGATGGCCACACGGGAAGGAGAGCCAGCTCCTCGCCAAGAAATCACTGCATTCAGCCTCGAAATGCAGGTCCCGAATGAAGGAGGGAAGTAGTAGAGGGAAGAAATATGAATTTCCTTTAAGCTGTGGCAGGAATAGCCTCCAGAAATCATTAAGCACTTTGCTGAGTGTAATGCTACAAAGCTCAACCCATCTGACACAAAAACACAGCCATTTCTGGGAGGGAAAAATGACAGGTAGTAATTCACACACACAAATGTGAAGACAGGACACAATTTAAGACTTTTTTCCTTGCTGCATGCCCTACGGCATCATCTGAGCTGGAATTTAACCACAACACCAAACAATTTAACCATAACACCTCTGGCACATGGAGAGGGTCCTAGAATAAGTGCAGTAAGTCTCATTGCTTGGCCAGAGCAATGAAGGCATCTTCATGAACAGAACCTTGAATACACCCATTTTTGGAGTCAGAGAACTATTTGCTTCACACTACACCAGGAAAACAGATCTGGTATTTCTGCACCCAAAGCACAGTGATGGACCTGATGCATCTGCATTCTTGGCATTTTTACGTCCAAAGGAATTTCTTAAAGAATATTATTGTTTGCAGATCTACATTAAGAAGCAGATTCTTTGGGGCCACTTCTGCTGCTTTTTGCTTGCAAATTCACTTGGAGAGGCAGAATAAATCCTGCGGCTTCATCTCAAAGCCTGGGCAAAGGGAGGCGAGCGCAGCGACTCGCTAAACGCCCCAGTCCGAAGTCGCTGCATCTCCCAGCAGAGACGCGTGTCGGCGCAGGGCCGGAGCAGGCAGGAGCAGCCAGGCTCCCCGACAGCCAGCGCTCCGAGCTCCCCGAACGGCACAGCCTACTTTCCAGCTCCAGACCGTCCCTGGGAGCTCGGAGGGCGTTAGCATAATCAGATGTCACCATCATGTGCTGCTCTGCCTACAAGATCATTCCGCCCTACAGAAGCGGCCTGAGCTGACTCATCTGCAGGCAAATACTACTAAACTTTGCACTCTGCCAGCTGGCTGCAACGAAGAACAGCCGGGACACATGAAAGACACCTAACTGACATCCTCTGGGAAAAGGCAGAAGTCCTGTCACTTCAGACAATTTACTTATAAGGCACTCAAATGACCCTGCTCCTTATTCAAGAGGGGAGCAGACTTGGTAACTCTTTTCTCCGTTCTCCCCCATCTCCAACCCTCAGTGTGTTACCTGCCCCTGCAGAGATCTGCTGCAGATAGAGGGACCTAGAAGAGGTTAATGACAGAGGACTCACCACAGACTCAGGTGATCAAAGCCCATTTGCAGGATGAGAGTTGACCTCTACGTAATGACTGGCAGAGATGAGGATCTTTCTTCACTCTATCCTATCTTGCACAAGCTCCAGGCAACTTCATTCACAGACCAGGCTGGTGACGGTCCAGATCCTTCCGACTCCCTAGACTGAGGGCACCTTCCTATCACCTCACCCCTAGGTTTGGGTGTTTTTAAAGGTCATGCACAAGTTGAAAGGCAATAGCACAGTGACGGGGACCCAGACTTGCTGAGAAAACTCCAAGTCTCATGTCCCCTGCTGCTACGGGCAGACCGGTATTATTTCTTCAAGCAGAGCCCAAGCATCATTAAGCTGGCTGAAGATCTCCTTAGGAACAGGTACCTGTGTTCTGCAAGCCATGAAAACACATTGTTTCAATCAACAAAGTCCCAAATGGCTCAAGATAACAATACCACAACTGAAAGCAGTGCGGCATGATCACCGAGGCAGAGCTGCTACGAAACACAGAAAATGGAAATTGCCAGCAAGATGCTCTCCATGAACTCACCGCCTTCCTAAGGACTCCTCCATCGGCCCAAGAGTCCTGCAGATGAAACCTGCTTCCGATAACGCAGGTCTCTGCCAGCTGCTGGCCAGGAGACCCGGTGCTGCAATAACAGCCGGTGGGCACAGCTGAAAGCAGCAGGGAAACCCACCTGCAGCAGCCTGCACCTCCCTCCACAGAGCAAGGGCTGACGTGATACATCTCTGAATTACAGTGGACTTTAAGTCTAATTACAAAGCCATTAATCAGTGTGGCCAAGACTTCGGCGGACACAAAAGAACGTGTTAAGGAGGACACACGCCCAGGCAGCAGCTGGCTCCCACTGTCCGTCTCTACAGCCACTGCCAGCTCCTCGTGGTTCGGCTCCTCTCTCCCCAGTCCCTGCCCGTGTCCCCCAGGCCAGAGGACGTCCCCGCACAGCCGCAGCGCTGAAAGCCCCTTTACCTTAAAGCAGCTTCCTTAAAACATTCCTAGAGCATCCGCTGTGTCTCCTGCCCACCCAGTCCCAACCGCTGCCCCAACCCGGACAGCCCAGCAGCCCCCCGAGCCCCCCAGCTCTCCAGAGCGCCGGAGGCCGAGGGCTTCACC